TTTTGATCCATCCATCCATCCATCCATCCATCCATCCATCCATCCATCCATCCATCCATCCATCCATCCATCCATCCATCCATCCATCCATCCATCCATCCATCCATCCATCATTCCATTATGTATTTACAGTAAATACAAAAACCGTTGAGTAGACAAAGATCGTCTCTAATTTAATAGCTTACTGTACAGAAACAGGACATCCTGACAGTTTGCTGTAAACTAATATACAGTTCATGATTTATTTGCTGTACTGAAAACAAAAGATCAAAATCTTGAATATGTCTTAATTTCAACCTTGAACTCCAGCTCCATGCCAGTGATGTGCTCTCCAGGCTCCACCTTGGACAGTTTCTGCATGTAGGAGTAGAGACTGCGGGCGGCCACCTCAGTGTTCCCGCAGGCCACGGCCTCCAGCAGCGCCTCGTGGATGAAGCTGTACTGGTCCTCAGTTTGCACCATGTAGTTCCTCTGCGAGCGCATGAGCGTCACGTGGCCGTAGATGTCCACGGTGCGTTCATGTCGGATGCGCTCCAGCATGGCATCGATGACAATGAAACAGCCGGTGCGACCAACACCAGCACTGAAAAATTGGAACAGCAAAACGCATTTCAAAACAGAAAAAGGGTTGTTTCATTTATTGTTAGCAGATTAAAGACTAAAGGTCAAATGTGACGTTGAATAAGTTTATTAGTTGGGAGTCAGTTAGTGAAACTTAACTGTGTCAAACATCATGTTTTGGGCTTACAGTTTGGCAAAAATGCTCAGTTTACATCTAGAAAGGTGTTGCTTTCGTTATTTGACTGTCACCCTTTGTGCGAAAGACCAGGCTGGATGTTTGCAAACCTGCAGTGAACTGTGATGGGTCCAGCATCAGGAGGGTTGCAGGCTTTCACTCTGCGTAGGAAGTTGAGGAATGGGGTGGGATATTCGGGCACGCCGTGGTCAGGCCAGGCTGTGAACTGGAACTGGCGTACCTCTCTCCTTTCACTGTTGCCACTCTGATATAAGAAAATCATACAAAGCTTGAGACACTTTTGTAAACACACCTTTACAGTATAATAGTATGGCCATGTTCATTATTCAACTTGGTGAGGTAGGAGCTGAGGTATTTTCCAAAAAGTATTTAGAGTTAAAACCAATTATGGAAAATATTTGTAGAAAATTTTGCCAGTCACTGTTTTCTGTCTGTAGCAACACAACTTATGAAAGAGCCAAACTTTGAAGAAATATATATATATATATATATATATATATATATTAGATACGCTTCTAAAACGGATTTAACTTTTGGACCCAATCCTATTCAAGATGGCTCCCACAGCCAAGTGACATCAGGAAACGAACAGAAAAATACTATAATTCAATCAGTGTTTCAAGTATTGTTCTAAAATCTCAGTAGGAGCTGAGAGGCGTTCACTCACATACCCAGAGAGCGGCATCTTTCAGTACATGTCATTAAAAGCTATGCTTACATAATTTTTTAACATAAAATGATCTTGCATTAAACATCTGGTATTTAGGATGGATGGTGATATGTATTATTCTAGAAATTCTAGGTGTTTTATGTTTAAGTAGACTTTAAACAAATTTGCAACAGCTAATATTAAAAGAATAATCTTTATTATATATGATATTTGTTGAAAGCCTGTACCTAAACTGTATCAAGAGAAACACAAATTATGACAGCATTTTTCATAAAGTGCATAGATTTTCTTTTTATTTTTTTTTACTGTTTAACATTTTTACCAACTTGATGTTTCACAAGATGTCAACAAAAATCTGAAGAAGCTGAGCTGCACCGGGAAGCTACAGCTGGCCTAGTTTCTGTTTGTAAGTAGGCCACAGAGACATGTCATCCTGACGGTCCGAGATTAGACCCGTGCTAGAAGAAACCGCTTTGCTTCCAGCACTCACCCCCATCTCAGCGGCTGACTCAGGGAGGCCTGCCTAGCTCGGTGTCCGGACTAATCTATCAGCCTAACCGTAACCACACATGATCCTCGCTCTGTGATGATGAAAATGTGAGATTACTCCGGCTGCACCTGAGTCCAAAACTGTAAGATCAGGGGACTTAAGATTTCAGTGGCAAGAAACTGAGGAGAGAAATGGCAGAGAGGAGGAGTCAAGGGTGGATCACGGGGGGCAAATAAAAATAAAAGTGTTCACCTTGTGCAATGAGAAGGTTCGAACGCAGAACGTGGCGAGCTCCATCGTGTCCAGCAGTGTGACCTGGATCATCCCATATGTCTCTGTGCCGCGACTTGGCCAGTACTGATCACACTTTATCTGTTGAAAACATACATTTTCAGACAGGTGCACCGTTCCTCCCCCACTCCCTCATATTATAAACTGCAGGCAGAGCAGACAGCCCGCCGGTGTGTAACAGTACTCCAGATAACCAGAACAGTGTATTCAGGTTTGTAGGTAATGCACTGGTTTCCTTACTCGTGACTTCTCTTCCAGGCGCGTCATCATGACAACAGACGCAGTCCGCTGCTCCCACACCATCCTCCAGAAGTCACCGAACGTCTCTGCCAAAGGCCCCTGGGTAGCAATGTAGGCATTCTGCTTCCTGTAGCCATCAACGTAGTTGGCGTTGATGTAATCGCTCCCCAGAATCCCTAGAAAAACAAACCTGTTTCAAACTGTGCAGTCAGGCGACAATAAATTAACCTCCATGTATGACATTACACAATCCAATGTAACGTTTGTTTATGACAGCCGTGGCTTCCTCACGGTGACAACAAACAAGCAGGAACCTGCTGATGTGCATGCATAAACTTTGTTCTGGAGAAGAGTGGATGCACTCGGATGGGTCCTCGCTGTTCGTCAGTCTCATGCCGCTGCGCACGGCGGGTCTTCGGCACTGTTTGCCATTTGTGATTTCATCCATTCTGCACCTCTTTGTGCTCTCCCACTGACCTCAGTCGCTCTCACCTTCTACGGGAGCCAGGATGACTCGGGTGTGGTCGTACGCTATGACGTTGGCGTAGCGGTTTTTGGGCTTGTTAACCTCCAGGTTGGAGTGCTCCCAGGTGAACTGCTGGCTGGGGTCGATTGACTGCAAAGACACAGCGAACGCACGTGTTATTAGTGCGCGCGGTGGCTTAACAGTGCTTCAGGGTAATGGAATAAGTGCTCCGTAATGCAGACAAGTTACAGCAATAAATCACTCGGTTGAATAAATCATGAACTTCTAATCTGCACACGGATAAACAAACATTAAATAAGATTTGCTTTATGAGGCTTAACAGGCCGAACATCTCCGAACAATCAGGATGTTGTCTGTTTATTTACGCATATACAACGATGATGCATTACTCGCCTCGTACTCCTGGGAAAGCCTCAAGTTGTCGTTGGCTTTCAGCAGCTCGATGTGCTCGGCCAGCTCGCTGATGGGGATGGGGGGGTGGCTCATCATCCCTGCACAACACGGAGGGGGTCAGAGGTGACACGATGAATTCAGCCCGCTAACCGAAATCGCAGGAGCTCCTCATTGTTCACGTGTGAAGATAATCACACAATGAGATGACATCACGTATCATTAAGGAGCACGCTGAGGCAGAAAATCAATTTTGATCCACGTGCGAGGACAAAGCCCGGAGACTCTGGTGTGTTTGTAAATTGTTTTTCTTTGATAAATTGCTTTCTCCGTGATCAGAGGAGAGGTGACACAAAGAAAACAAACACAGTCAGAACACTAATTAGTGGGTTACACACACAAAAACACACACGGACGCACATAAAGGAAGCTACCTATGGGCTGCAACAATGATTTCTTTTCACAGCCGGCGCTTGAAAAGTGAAGCAATCCATCCTCATCCTAAAGGTGAGCGGTTACATCAATGAATCAAGGGAGCGTTCCTGTGTTTAAAATAAGCTAAATCTATAACGCCGAAGCCGGAGGCATTCTCCGTGTTTCTTGAGCTGAAATAAATGCTGAAAAGCTTTTAAGTCAGTCATCCTGCAGCTACACTGATGATTTGCCTCCGCAGACTGACCCTGTGGCATCCACAGGTAAGCACGACAAAAAGCTCCTGTCACGACCAAAATCACCCAAATACATCATCATCCCTGAGTTTTTTTTCTTTTTGTTTTGTTGGAAACTCATTTTAGCAGCGCCGAGCATCTGAAAGCACAAATCTCCAGGGAGAAGAAGTGGGCGAGGGAAGAGTTTCAAGGTTGCTGCCACACAAGAAGAAAAAAAAAAAACTCTTATGATGACAAAAGAGGGAGTCAAGGCGGTGCGGTTGGGTTTTCTTTGCTTTGCAAGAACATGTAGAAACAGAAGACGTTCGGGCTGTTTTTATCTATCGATTACATAAGAATGTGTCTTATTTGACCTTTTGTACGTTGGCAGGTAACCTTTCCCAACTCTGACAGATGCTGACACCTTTTTAACGGAGACGTTTCAGCTGCAAACTGCACCTAACAAGAACAGTGGTTACATCCCTGTAGTCATATTTAAATAAAAAATAGGAAAAGGAAGCATCAACCAGACAAGCATCGTTGTTAGATCTCAGTAGGTCGGAGAGCAGAAACATCCCACATCATTTCTGTATCCTTATTCCTTACCCCATCTTTACAAATCTTAACCCAGAGCACAGATTTTGATACAGAATTTTGAGGTCTAAACACTTAGTAGCGATTCTGGCTGCCTGGCATGTGGAACGTGGGCGAGCGGAGATGATGAGATCTTGACACGACGTTATGACTCAGACGTGACTAAATCACTGACTGCACTACCTGGGCTGCAGCCATTTTAATCTCAGGAAGCCGCCAGGTTTGTGCTGGTTGTGATGGAAGGAGGTGGTGGGGGAGGGGGACTTTCTCTGTCTTGTCTGCATAATCTTACCAAGGACAAAATTAGCTGCATGAATATTTCATTTCCGAATAAAATTAGCCTCTCGGAAGTACACTTTATCATGCAAATACAGAGCGTGTGTCGCTGGGCGGGTGCACGCTTCATACCGGGAGTCTGGAAATTTATACGTCTCATCTCCACGGGGTCTGTAGGGTGATGGGCCATCATCTCGGCGTTGCCCAAAAGGCTCTTGGTTCCTGGTTCAGAGTCTTTGCGCTTGCTGCTCAGACACCAGTAACACATGAGAGGAAATATGACATCATCAGCATGGCTCCTTGGTTCAAACACCGTGTCACTCGACAGGGAGTTTTAGGGCTTTGTAAAAATTCTCTGTGCAGCATTTGGTACCATGTAAGTTAAACGGAACAAAGAGTTTCACGTTGTTTTAATCTTACCTGTCAGGTTTGCTGTTTCCCGTGATACAGGGCCAAGAGTGAGAATAATTAGAGGAAGAAAAGGAAAGAAACAGACAGATTGTTAGAGAAGACGATCAATATTTTGCATTAGTATTCGAGGGCTTGATGACTTGCAGCACATATCGCAGAACTACAGCTGGGTCAGACTTTGATATGTGAGAACTGAGAAAACTTCTAGACTACAGGTAAATGAAATTTGATGAATTTTGAACTTTTGGTTGAGAAAAGCCAAATAGTAAATAAAACCTCAATTCTGAAAATGTAGAGATGTGTAAAATGCAAATAAAAACTGAAGGTAATGATTTGGTAATCTAATGTTTTGATGATGATATGAACTGTTGATGAGATATTTAAAGTCTTCTGAAGTCTTATTATGAAATTGTTCCACTATTTCAAATCTGATGTCTTGTAGAGTGGCAAACCCCGGCCCATCTTTACTTCTGAGAGATTCAATCCCTCTAAAATGTTCTTTTCATACCCAGTCCTCTGACCGACCTGCTGCCAGTTAACCCAATTAGTTCAAGTGAACTTTTTCAGCCTTTTGCTGTCTCTGTCCTATCTTTTTTTTTTTAGATGTGATGCTGATATACTGTTTTAACAAACTGTTCTGTTTCTTAATTAATACATTTGATATGTTTATTGTGTTCAATTGTGAATAAAATATGGTTTGATGAATGAAGCAAAACATAGTACAATGGTTCCATGCAGTTATATTTCTGTATCTAGAACGTTGCGTGTTTTTAGCGATAAATGAATGGGCGCTGGTCGAGGAGGCTGATAAGCGCCGACAACCACCGGCACTTCTCACTGAAGCTCTTGACATTATTAAAAAAACATAAAATCACACCAGTTTTATCCTCTAAGACAATCAAAGCTGCTTTGGCATTTACTTGGTGTGACCAGCAGTCTGAGTCAAGGCGGTGGTTGTAAACTTGACATTTGATTTTTTTGATTTTATAAAGTTCATCCCACTCACTTTTTGTAAAGGAGGATTGCAATAACAATGCAGATGATGAACACCACAGCCAGGACAGGTCCGACCACCCAGATCAGACCATCGCCGGCATCAAAAGGCTGGGGGTCTGAATCCGGGGCGATCACCGGGTCTGTGTAAGGACTGGCCACGTACATCCTCTGCACAAAAAAACATTACAGGAACATAATCAGAAAATAATGAAATGAAATATGATGAAACCGTTTACATTTAAAAAAATGTTTATTTAAATAGAAAAAATAAAAATCTACAAATAATTTTTAAAAGGTTTAGCAAATTATGAAGCTTTAAAGCCATAGTTCCAATGTTTTCAAGTGGGGTTAACCTCTTTCAATTTAATGTTCCACTGCTGTTTGCAAAGAATTCTGTTGCACTTCCTGTGCAGCCTTGGACATTTCCTGCTGGAGTATCATAATATTTCTGCCAGAACTACCTAATGCAAACCTGACACAAAAAGTAAAGATTTATAAAATAGTGTTTTTCTTCATCAGCTATCAGATGGCAGAAATCCACTCTGGTCTGGGCCCAGTTCAGATTAGTTGTTAGCTGGTCAGTCTGGTCAGAATTAAACTTCATTTCTACAAAACCGTTACTGACAAGCTAACAGCTAGTCAGAGCTGGACCAGTACAGTAAACCCTCGTTACTTTGCGGTTCGTTTATCGTGGACTCGCTCTATCGTGGGTTTTCAAATTAAGATTGGACATGACACACACTGGCTGATTGATGGATGAGCCACACGATAAGCACAGAATTTTTATTTAAATTTTTTTTTTTTATTATTATTATTTAGCACCTCCTGCACCTTTGTGCAGCCCATACCGCAGGATAAGCTTCCTGCTACAGCTGATCAGCTGTTCTCCATACAGAGCGGAGAAGTGGGTGTGGCCAAGAACGCTTGCAGGTGACAAAGAGCAGAAGAGGCAGGAAGCTGAAATCAGGACATTCTGTGCTCTTTTGGAGCGAGCGTTTAGAGTTTAGAAACATTGTTTAGAATATTGCAAGAGTGTGGGAAGGGTTTAAAACACCTATATATATATATATATATATATATATATATATATATATATATATATACACACATAATAAAATAAACTACAACTTACTTCTTGTACTACTATTCCTACTTGGCGGTTTTTCACTTATCGCGGGTCTTCATGGTACAGATCTCCCACAATAAATGAGGCACTACTGTGTACAATATCTTGCCCATGTACAACAGGTAAGATATTAATAGTTCATAATCTTTCCATAGAATTCCACTTGAAATTATTTAACTAATATTTTTGTTGTGGCTGTATTATAGAAGTGGAACAACGGATCACAGTAGATTAAAACGCACATTCTGATTTCACGTGAACATGTGACAACATATAAAAGAACTTAACAATTTTCGCTGAGGGCTGAACGACTGCATTTTTATTAGTTCTGAAGGACCTTAGAAAAACATCCCATGGGCTTTTATTCAGCTCTGCAATCTATTACATTCCACATTATATATGCACGCCTATTCCAATTCAAATACACTTACATGCCAACCGTGCACAGAGGAAATATCTCTTCCACTGCCACAGTCTGTAAACTCACTCTTTATTAGCAGTGCTGATGGAAGCATGTGGACCTTATTGCATTTGCTTATAACCCTTTGACTGATGGGAATTGTATTGTTTTAGCAGTGTGGCTAAATGGATCACAATATCTAGTGACAGCCTGCAAGAGAAGGGGAAAGATGGAGCGCTTGTAAACACGGGAGGAGGAGTGATGTAATGGAGTGACATTTGTACCCCTGTCGTCGAGTTCAGTTCCGCCAGGATGAAGAAGACGTACTCTTGCCCCGGCTCCAGAGCTCGGTTCTCAAAGCCTCCGTAGTCCAGCTGGTCCCCCAGGGTGAAGAAGGCTGGCAGGGTGGCAGGTGTGAAACGGGCCGTGATGTAAGCCCGCCTCAGGTCCACCTGCTTCTGCTGTCGAGAATCCCTCTGCTTTTGACTGATGTCTCTTAACAGCTGAAGAAAGGGTGAGGATGAGGACGAGAAATGTAAGAACTTTAAAAATCTTGGAGTAGACCTTCAAAACTTTGAATGAATAAAATGATTTGGCATCGTCAGGAGTTCTTAGTGTTCTTCTCAGTTGTTCTTCCAGGTTCTGATATTTGTGTCACTTCTGCGGCTCTCACCTCCTCCAGGTCCATTTCATCTGGACTTTTGGGTTGCCTGATGACGCCACGGGTTCGCCGCAGAGGAACCACAACAACGTAAACATTCCTGAGGAAGCAAAAGAAGCAACAACAGCATGAGGCCTCACACTGTTCAGATTTTGTTGGAAGTATCATTAACATCTTGGCACTTGTGTAACATTATCATCCTGCCTCATTACAACACCACAGTCAGATAAGCAAACAGCAACAACAACAAAAACGTACTTGACAGGAGAGCGAGTTTCCAGAGAGGGCAAGATTATAGTGATGGTGGTCTCTGTTTCACGGGTGTGGTCGATCTCAGGGCGGCGGATGGTGATTGGCGGAGATGTCTTGGCAGTTATGCGGTGTCGAAGACCTCCCATGTTGCCTTCAGGAGCAGTAATTTTAAAGTCGTAGCTGGTGTCGGGCTGAAGGTTTGGGATGACTGCCTTCTTCAGGCGAGCGTTCACCTCCATCTTCTGACGGTTATACTCCACCTGGAGATTTAAAGTGGGTTGGAAAGGTCAGAAGAACTAAACCTCTGTTTCTCTATGGTTTGTTCCTATGTATCTGTTTTTTAAATTGAAATTCTTGTAACACTGGGTATAGATTTCTTTTAAAAGAAAAATAAATCAATTTAGCCAAACTTGAGTTGTTTTAAATGTAAAATACAGAGCTAGTGCTTAAAGCTAGATATCTTAGTATAAAAATTGAAAGCAGAGCTGACTGTTACGTATAAAATAAAATTAAAAAAACAAAAGTACAAAAATAACAATGTTGTAGTGTTTGATGCAAATCCAAACTATTTCATGACCATCACTAGTTGCCAAGCAACAAGAGAAAACTCCAGGAAGTTGCACCAAACCATGAAAAAGAAGGACCTCTAACAGAAAATGGTAAAGCTGATGGTATACAGTTTGTTATGCACTGTGTCTCTGTTGTGTTCATAAGCTATTTCCATCCATCCATCCATCCATCCATCCATCCATCCATCCATCCATCCATCCATCATCTTCCGCTTATTCCAAAGTCAAGTCTTGGTGGCAGCAGCTTGAGCAGGGAGGTCCAAACATCTCTTTCCACAGTCACCTCTTCCAGTTCTTCTGGGAGGACCCCGAGGTGTTCCCAGGCCCAACAAGAAACATAGTCTCTCCAGCGTGTCCTTGGTCTTCCCCGGGGTCTCGTCCCAGTTGAACATACCCCAAGCACCTCCCTAGGGAGGGGTCTAGGAAGCATCTTTACCAGATGCCCAACCACCTCAACTGGCTCCTCTCAATGTGGAGGAGCAGTGGTTCTAGTCAAAGTCTCTCCTGGATAACTGAACTTCTCACCCTGTCTCTAAGGGAGAGTCCATCTACCCTGCGGAGGAAACTCATTTCAACCGCCTGTATTTGTGATCTCATTCTTTCAGTCACTACCTAGAGTTTGTGGTCATAGGTGAGGGTAGGAACCTAATCTGACCAGTAAACAGAGAGCTTTGCCTTAAAGCTCAACTTCCTCTTCACCACAATGAACCAGCACAGAGTCCACAATACTGCAGATGCTGCACCAATCTGTCTATCAGTCTCACACTTTATTCTTCCCTCACTCATGAACAAAACCCCGAGACACTTGAACTCCTCCACTTGAGGCAGAACCTCATCATTGATTCAAAGAGAGCAATACATAAATATATAAAAGTTTCATGAACCACTAAAATAATTTAATTTAATGCTTAACTTTTGGTGTCAACCCAGTTTAAGATGGCTATCATGATCAACTGACTATTAGTAACAACTCAGTTACTTCTACAGATACCGATGAAGTAGAAAAGTTGTTTGCTCAGAAAGCCCTGCGAGGATGCAGAGTGTTACCAAGTACAGAATGTTTTGGGTCAAACCGACCTCCTCTTTCGGGAAAGGAAGACATGTTTATATTACAGGAAGAACCAGTCGTCAGAAGTCTGGGTGTACGGCCAGAGACGGGGTCTGTTTGACAACTTTGCAACAACAAGCTAATGTTTATGTGCAAATCTCTAAGGAGATCAGAGCTAGTTTGGGAGGGGAGGTCTTTTATGGGACTTCAGGTGTCCAGCTGTTTGGACCGGCCGTCAAGCTGTTTCTTTTATAATAAACCCTGACTTTTGCTGTCATCACAGAACTCAGGTCATTTATTTTATTTAATCATTGTGAGTTTAAATGTAGCTGAACCACTACACTGACAAAATGTGGAGCGTTAGAAGCTGAGAGTTATCTTCAACACATACTCAGCCCTACACATTACGCAACATCTTTATTTAAAACTTTGGCATTTATTCTCTGTGTCAACGCTGTTTGCCTTTTAGCAAAATATCTCATGAACCACTAGACTGGTCAATATTCAGAAAGTAATCACTGGTTGTACGACTGCACTGATTGACTTTAGGAGTCAGTCCAATGCAAGGTGGCTGCTACACCTGTCACACCTAAACAAAGTGGCTACAAATCAGTCAATATTAACAGATAAAGAGCTAAAAATTTGTTGTTGTAAAACCCGATAGTTATCCTTAATACAGACTCTCAGCATTCACAATCTTTTATGAGTTTGATGAGATTGAACATGACGTCAGTTAAAAGGTTTGACAAAAAAGACCAACTCCAACACTTCCCAATAAAGTATGATCTCTAGTATAAAAGGTGGCAGGAGTTGCAGGTTAAAGAAATGCGAGGCCTTGAATTTACATTCATATGCATTATATTTAATAGAAAATATTTATTTTAAACTCCAAACAGAAAAAAAAGCAGTTTATATATGTTTCCTAAAATTGGTTTATGACAAACAGCAGAGCCATAAAGTCAAGACGTACAATAAAGAGGTAGGGGTTGGAGGTCTCTGGAAAGTCCCAGGTAAGAAGGACGCTGGTCTTAGTGGCCAGGTTGACTGAAAAATTCCTCGGCACATCTAGAACACAAACAAACATCTAAAGTTACACATGACGGATAAAAAAAAAATGAAATTCAAGATCTTGTGTTTCCTCAATGCAAACCTGCAAAGTGTGAAAAAAAGAAGTTGATGTGTTACTTCAGGAGGAAAAGATGACGGTTAGGAGGATGGGCAGGTGATAAGGAGAGTAGATGACAAGAGTAACACAAGTAACAGACAGATCAGCTGCAGGAATGTGACATGCCACATCGTTGGAGTGTAAGTTTGTGTTTGTTCTGCTATGAATTCAGCCTGTCAGCAAAAGGCTCTGGAAAAAGGTGGCAGTGAAGGTCTATCAGATAAAAATGGCTTACCTGAACATAGCACCAGGCACCGGCGTTCCTTTCAAATAAGACTGAACACTTACCTTTTCTTGTAGATACTGTACACCCAAGGCCCTGTATTGACTTTTACCTGAGGGTTTGTGATAAGCAGTGCTCTCGAAGCAAACATCCATTAACACTGAGCCTGCTCCCACTGGTGGTGAAGGGTATAGGTGATGAAGGTACAAGTGAGTGAGTGGAGGAGTTTTGGGGTAAAGTAGCTGTGTTCCTCTGGGCTTTGCAGGTCTCCATCTTTCTCAGGTGGACTGGTGAAAAGGCAGACCTGTAAGAACTGGCCCAGACTTCATTTAGTTTAGTGTTTTGAGGTGAAATCCACAAAAAAAGGAGGGTAGGTGTGAAACTGAACCAGTGATTAGAAGTTGAAAGTTATTCCCGAGGCCTACCTGTATCAAAGGCCAGGGTGAGGCCAAGCAGAGCGGGGCTGAAAGGTCCTGGCCCCGCCTTGTTGTGGGCTCTGAGCTGCACCTCGTAGGCTGTGCTGTGATTGAGGCCAAGGATGGTGAAGCTGGACTCACTCGCTGGCAGTGTGATCAGCCATGGAGGAGCAGAAGGAGTGGGTAAGGCAGAGGAGCCAGGGTCAGCCGAGAGTCTGGGGGCGGCAGCTTGTTTGTAAGCTATAGTGTACTCAGTTATGACACCAGTGCACTCATTTGAGGCAGGAGGCAGCCAGGAGAACTGAAGGGAGCAGCATGTTGCATTTATAAAATCAAATAATTTTGGGTATCCGGAGGGGGGAAACATAGGAATCATAATTTCCTGCTGAGCCACATCTCCATAGCCTGCTCGGCTCTTTGCAGAGAGGGTGAACTGGTAGGAGGAGCCCGGGGAGAGGTCTCTGACAGTGAAGTTTCTCTCCCGATGCGTAAAATCCATCGTGGTGTTCAAAGAATCGTTTTTTAGGCCAAACTGGAGACGGTAGCCCCGGATTTCCATTGGGGTCCCTCGGCTGTCAGAACCAGTTTCCGAGCAATCCCGAGGAGGAGCCCATCTCACCACCGCAGACGAACCCAATCCTGGATGCACCCAGAGGGAGGGGGAGCAAGGCACTGCAAACAACAGCGTAGGCAGCAGAAAATGAGTCTGCAACACGTATTATAAAACCATATATCATGTAAATCTGGCAGAGGAATTAGGATTGATCTAGCTGTTTATTTATGACTGTCTCCCGGTACAGCCTTCTGTAAGATCAATTCCTGAGTGTGTTACTAAATCCAGAGTGCTATATGGTTGACATATGCTTACCAATCCCAGTGGTCTGCACTAGCCTGGCTTTGCTGTGCGCTCCATCTCCTTTAGTGGTGTACGCTGCCACTGAGACCGAGTACAAAGTCTCTGTTTTCAAGCCTCCTAAAATCAGCTCCTGTGGAAGAAACACCAAAGACTAAGCCTCTCTATTTTAAGCAAACAGGTCAATTCAACACATCTTTGCTAAAAATTATGGATCAATGATGAATGATCAAATTACATAATGGAGGGGTCTGCTCAAACCCATGGCGGTCAAACTGAAATTGGATTTTAATACACTGGGTATGTCGTGCTGTGTGTATTAGTCATGAGTTCATTTATAATGAGAAGAGAATAGGCCCTTACGTAGTGAGTGGAATCATCCTCCTCCATCTTGTTGCACAGATGAAACACACCCCGTAGGCAGCCGAGACAGATGAGCGAAGTGAGTCAAAGGAATAAACGAGGAGCAGAAATAATTTGCAGCTAGGACAACTGAGAGTAATTTGCTTTTTCAAGTATGGAGGTATGGTTTCACCTGGGTGTCGTCTAATAGAAGGTCTTTGATCTGAGGGAGCGTGCGTGATTCGCCACTCTCTACGCGGCTGAAGTGCACCTGGTAGCCACGAACCTGGCCTTGCCGTAACCGTGGCAACACCGAGCGCCACGTGACTCGAAGTGCCGAGGAGTTAAGCGGCTGCACGTCCACCTGACGAGGAGCCGCGCCGGGAACTAAACGCACACACAGACACCCACAAATGCCAACTGGGAAATAATCGGATAATCAATCAATAATCTGCGGCTAATGATCTTACCATCCTCGTCGGTTCTGCAAACCACAGTCGGGCTGGTGGGTCCGGTCCCCTCTGCAGTGGAGGCTGCTACTGTGATGTTGTACCAGCTCCACTTCTCCAGACCTTCCAGCACAATTTGTTCAAAGTAGGCTGGGACAGGAGGCGCTGTCACCTCCTCACCCTGACCTCCTCCTGCCCCAGAAACTCTTTGGTATTTGAGCTCATAACCTGCCAACTGGCCCTCCAACTGAGGTGACCTCCAGCTCACTCTCAGCGAGGTGGAGCTGGCACGCTCGCAGGACACACCCTCGGGTGCAGCAGAGGGTTCTTGAAATGGATAAGGAGCAAGGAGGGCAAATTGGCAAAGAGTTTAACGGGGGGGAAATAAAAAAAAACAGCAAGAAAGGGGGAAATTCACAAGCAAAAATGGGAGATGAGGATAAAAAAAAGAAAACAAAGTAAACTGAGCGAACGTGGTTCGAGCATCAAAAAAAGAAGAAGGGAACAACCACATAATGTAAACGCAGTTTTTTACAGTGACCTGCTTAAAGTCTAATGAAATAAACCAGAGACATGAGTATTGACCCTGAGTGGACAACTTAATTACATTCAAGGAGAATGTGTTCTGATAGCTGATTATTAAATTTGATCATCTGGCTGTAGCTGGTGATTTATAGACTGATCCAAATTCTGAATGGAAAACAAATGCATCTCTTTTTTTTTTTCTAAAACAGAAATTCACATTATAGCACAAAGAAGCAGAGACAACAATATGCATTTCATAACAGCAGCTTCCGTGGCACCGTGATCCTCAAGCCCTCGGGATAATAGAGTGGTGCGAGACCTTCCTCTCCTGACAAGAAAAAGGTCTTAAGTTTCACAGCAAGGAGATAAAACAAACTAAAACAGAGCAGCTAAAATGATTTAGGAGGCAGACTGAAGGCACTAAGATGGAAAGTCGGGTTAGAGAAAATCAGACGTAGGCTTGCAAATATATACAATGGAGAAAAATGCACACCCACACCTTCACAAATCACAGACATCGCTCACCTTATATAATGTTGTCTTAGCAGCATGGCCGAGGCGCTGGAGCTCCTGCAGCGCATGGCATGCGTACGTGTGAGTGTAATAGTTACAGCTGACAGGTTCAAGTATCTACTCACTCAGCCGTACAGCCACTGTTCTGTTGGCCTCGGGGGACAATCTAGATGTGCACCAAAGCTTAGCGATAACAAAGCACACCTAACCTCTCAAAGAAATGAATTCTGATGCATGAAATAGTCTGCTTATCAAGCACCTTTTTCTCACCAGAACGTTTCCGCCTACTGGCTTTGCCACCTTTAATATGTGCCACCCTATATATATATATATATATATATATATATATATATATATATATATAT